CATCAACCTATGGATAAAAACCAAGAAGAACTGGAGGACCATTTTCCATATGTTTATTCACGATGTCCAATTCTCTTTGTGATGGCCTTCATGTCTCTCCTTACTTCAATATGGTCAGCCAGTTCACTCCCCACATAGCTTTAGATTCGAAAAATCTCATTCCTTGAGCCAGAGACCAGTGAATTGATTAACAATGAAATTTTGCTTTTGCCAACGGAAAAGTAGAAGGTTGTCTTGTATGCAGTTACATGGAGTTCAATCAGAAAGGCTAGAACTTCAAGCTGATTCTCAAATCCATCAACCGATCAAATTAAGGATTTGGGTCAAGAATGATGCATGTTACACGGAATGGTAATAGCCCCAATTCTCTCCTACTAAAGTGCTCTACTTATCCTTCCTTCTAACTTCGAGTATTTGTTAGTGAGCGGTACAGTAATGAGCACATTATTTGGGCTTCTCTATCAACCGCTCATTCCTTCGTGCTTGATCCTAGCGTTTGGCTTTGCGTGGGGTCGTCAGTGGGTGGGTTGCAAAGCACCATCATTTGACAAACAATAAGACTTATCTTCTCGTCGGCGTTAGAAAAGGTACGAATTGGTGTTTCAGCATTTTTAGATGATCGAAAATTGAAGGTGATGTCACATTTGCCATGGCACCAAAGATCAAGTAAACAAAGCAAGTCAAGTGTTTTGATGATCACCATTGAACCATGGGGTATACAGCCTTAATCAAGCTAACCATAAGGTGAGTTCAAATGAGATGAGTCAGGGTGTATTGTTTATGTTTGATGAAGAACCGAAAACACCAGTGACGCTTGGCAGAATCCTTTGCATGGCATTTGTTCATCCATTTGGTCCATTTGGGAACGAGGTGTTATCTAATGTCTGCTTAAGGTTGGGTTGTTTGCTTAAAGGCACACTTCACGATAAAAATGGTTTTTGAATTCTCTCCTAGTAATACCCAGTGGTCCCCAAGGATAACTGGAAAGACGCTGCCGAATCCCAAAACTCATCAGCTAGGGCATGATGGGAGCCCCGTTACCGGATCGCCCGGACTTCCCGCCCGTCGGTGGATGTCACGTCAGACGATTGTCAAGGCGATACAGATTGCAATATTCGTTCTAGAATCAGCTGATCGCCGGAAGATGAGGCTATGTTTTTCTACTATTCTTTCACTCTCTATTATTCTTTTTGCTGTTGCGACCCTTATTATGATTTACCACCTCAAAAGGCTGAAAAGGGTGAGCCACTTTTGCTGTTATTAGGGTGTTTGCTAACTTATGCTTATGAATTAGAGAATGAATTTTTGTTTAACGTGGTCAGCTATTCGCACCAGGACCTACACGTTCTCAATGAGACACATGCATAGCTCGTCCAAACGCCTCATTTTTCTTCATTTTCCTGGTCTCGCTCTCGTCCAGCCCCCTTTTTTTAACGATTTTTCGAAGCCTTTTTTTACTCTGGAAATACCTATTCACGCAGTTTCTTTGCCTTCATCACCTATTTTCCATATTGTCTTCCATTTTCGTCATAATCTGGGTTACACTAAACTATCGTTAACTGTGCCTTCAAGAAAAAGCTAGTGACAGCAGGTGGGCCTTACAAAGAAGCTGTACTTTGGACAGTTCAAAGGTGAGAGCAGCATAGGATCAGAAGGGAAGCCTGTGCTATCAGCATAGGGATTATTTTCCGCAAAGAGAACTTTGCACTTGAAATTAATCTTGTCTTATCTTACCAGCTGGGGTGAGACATTCATATCAAAACTGGGAATCCTTTTTTTTTTTTGAACCACTGTTTTCTATTTCTGAACCTCATTTAGAAGTGGGCCGTGAAGGGCGAAATGGTTGAAGTTTGGTCAAGGAACTTTCTGAAGTGAGCCACGCATTCAGTTTTCATTCAGTATCGAATACTCATTCGAATGCAGGCTTACCTTAGAAAACTTTGTGCACATCTGTCGCATAAGAGTCGAGTGATCGATTGCTTTCCCTTTTTTCCAGGCATGTCGGGTTGAAGGTCTGAATTTTATCTAAATTCTAAATAATTTACTGCATTGGTGGGGTTTGCACCGAGACGGGCCGAGTTTGCACAAGGCGGTTATTACCTTTGTTCTCCAAATTCAGGGCAAAACGGAAAAGTGACAAAAGTGTACAACTACTCTTAGAAAGAATCCACTTAGCAGTGGCGCTAGGGGGTTGTTAAAAGTGTGGCCTATACTTGGAATACATAAGTGATGGCAGCAACAAATATCATCCCGAATATCTCGAATGTATCCAAATTCGTTGCTTCCACGACTAGCCAGCATCTATTACTGAATCAACTCAAACCAGTTTGGATATGGGACGCTGACGCATCACGTAATGAACACCTGGCTACTGAAGAGATATTCGAGGCGACATTTCGTTCCTGCCTTCACTTATGCTTTGTAATTGTAATTATAAGCCACACATCAACAACCCCTAGCGCCACTGCTGACTGGATTTCTTCTAAAAGCTGTTAAACAGTCTTGCCACATTCTCCGTTTTTTCCTGGATTTGGAGAACAAATGGTTATAATCTCTTTATGCGAACATCGCCCATCTCGGTGCAAGCCCCACCCACAACGTATACGGCCTCGTCAGGTTCACGTAATAGCTGTAGTTCCTGTAACAAACAAATCCACAAATTTTCTCAATCTTTCCGATACCTCCAAAGGGGCAAGTTCCTTGCATAATCGCACAGATATGGCTCATCATTTATAGTGAAAATATGCAATTAATTAATCTCTTGAGCTGTATTTCAGGAAGTTTTGTAAGGCCTCAATCTTTTAGACACTAAAAAAGTAGCGTTGGGGGTAAACAATTAATAGTTATGATAAATGGCACGAGTGGCCTCTTATCAGGAGACCAATATGAATTGCCCATTAAAGACCACGCCTCAGATATTTAATGACTTCGAGGTAGTCGTAATCTAATAAATAGAGATGGTGTGATCTGAAAGGTTATGTGAGAGGCCACACCCTGTTTATGAGCACGAAATTAAATTTGCCGAAAGATGACCTGGGAATTTTCCACAGTAAAAGTGTTCAGACATAAAAATTAACTTTTTGCATTCCTAGAAGGGATGTGGCCTCTATTACAGCCTCCTGATCAAATCATGATCACATTTCCGATATAGACAAATTCGCATTGCAAAGGTTGTACTAAGAAGATAAAATTAGCTGACTTTAGGCTACAATACTTTTTTCAGGAGCAGGAGAATCATGTAAATCATGTAGTGTAAACCCTCCTCTCAAAAGGTCCACATTACATTCGAGCAAATATTCCCCGGAACCGATAAGCATTGTAAACTTCCCTGTGTGCTTCCTTCCAATACACCCTTTCAATCATAGAGGAGGTATTATAGCAAGATGGGCATTACACAGCGACATCCGTGACAATATTCAGCTACCTTCGAATCAAGAGAAGTAGCACTTCTCAAAACGCTCGGGAATACGGAAATTCGTGACGCTTCAAGCACTACGGCATTATCGATCAGTAGAAATTCTTGGAAATAGTAATACGTACACAATCGTCTTCGAGTTGTACCCTCGACGACAGCTCTACCTCCGGTACCTTCATTACTTATGAATGAATACTAAGCCTATGCATGCGATTAGCCTAAGCGGAATAACTCTTTCTCAGTAACAATTTTTTCTGTGAGGTGCCTCGGAGGGCTCTTCGAATAAAGCTATCAAGGTTTCTAAGAACTAAAATGTATAGTTGTAACCCTTGCACGTTCCGAGCCATATAGGTAATAGTATCGTCAACGTGATCTTCGGACAAACCTCGCCCTAGTGACTCGCCATCGGTGCTGATAACACTATCGAGGATTCCCCCGTCTCGGGAACACGCCTGATGCCGCCTATCACAACAACAACATTAAGCCGTCTCAGTCACTATATTTAAAGGAGGCGCTTCCTCTCTTCTGTACGATCTCCGTGATCCGAAGGCACTCTATGACCTGTATCAGCTTTAGTTTGTACGCTGTTATTTTGTTTTCAATCGGAAATACTATTCACCTTGTACCGGGATTTCCTCAAATAAAGATTTCAAGATTTCAGAACTTCCCCTCCAACATGTCTGAACTACGTTTCTCGGTGACTTATTACTTGAACTCAATGAGGAGCTGTTCGCAGTATCTCTATTTCTTTCTACTGCGTGTACTAGATAGCCTGTTCGGAAGTAACCTCTACGCTCCGACGCTTATTCACACCCACGCAAAAGGCGTGGTCACGAGGTTCTTTTTGATTTTTCTTTATCCAAGCAAAGGTTTTCTCTTTTATAACAAAATCACATAGGCCTCAGGATTGTCGGGAAAATGGAATGATCTTCCAAACACGAGAGTGTCCTGTCCTGCTAGAACACTGGGTGGTATCACGCCGCCTCTGCCGTTGGGGTTCCCCACCTCTCCAGCCGCGCGTGCTTTTCACGCAGCCCTTACTCTTGACTACTACTAGCCTCACTGCTCCAACTAGGAATCAGTGTTAAAGGCACCGTTTACGATAAATTTAGGGTACCCTTTTTTTTGAAGGGAGTTCATAGAACTACTCTAAAATAAAGCGATAACAACGAAAAAAGCGCAAAAAACGATGAACAAAAAAGTAGAAAGGGTCAAAAAAGAGCTGGAAAGGGGAGCTGGACGAGTTTCGCATTGGAAGAACGACGGTTAAGGAAGTGTTCGGGCGAGTGCGCGAAGGCGACGCAATGTCTACAATAGAAGACAACACACCCAAGCAGACACATCGCTCCAATGCGAGTGTGGTGAACAATTAGAACTCGTAGTCAGCCTAGCGAGGGGCGGAGGCCTCCCGTCCCCCACTGTTCCTGCCCTTATTGTGCCCTATCCAGACCGTTTTCCGACCTCACTACTGCACAAATGGTATCAGAGGGGGCGTCGAATTCAAACCATGTGCAAATCCCCGAAACCATTTTTTCGTGAACAGTGCCTTTAAGGGAGCATCGCGGTTCTGGGGATTAATCTACATTATTCCTTTGACTTTGCCTGACTATAAACAGTCTTTTCGTACAGACAAATACTTAACCGTTTGCGTGATTTTATACTGCATTTTTAGGCTCCCAGATGGGTTTCTGAATGGTTTCGACAATCTGCCATGCGTTGTTATGGACAAAATCTTTTTAAATGTTTCGGCTAGAGAGATCCAGAATCTGCAACTGGTCAGCAAGAGGTGGATGAACCTGATAAGGTAACATTTTCGAACGATTCTTTGCCATTCAGTGAAATATAATTCCGTTCATTAGGCAAAATCCGTTTTTAAATGGCTGATCAGAGCTTTTAGAAGAATCCCTCACTTAATCGTTCTATTTCCAGACCACGGCGATCTCACTATGCCAGAAACTCTATATCCGATTTAACGATCAGTTTCAACAACGGAATACGTACTATCACCCAACCGGCAACCAAAACGGAATCAGTGCGGGTTTCAAGATGTTCAAAGTGAGGAAATGATTTTTTTCAAAATCTATGAACTAATTGGTCTTTTCGACCTTTGGCAGCCATATTGCAGCTGTTCTAGGATTCGTTTGAAACTTCCTTTTCGCTATTATCATGCCAGCGATCCTTTTCTTTCAGAAGGTGGTGTTCGCATAATCTCGCATCAGCCGTCCCACACATTTCCATTGACTGTCTTGAACTTCGAATTCATCACATTAACGAGCAGTTCGACGAGCTACAACTGAGTAAGATCGATACTCGATCAATCGATATCATCTTCTACAGACCGATCGAATCCACTTCCACAGAGTGAGTAAAGATTTCTTGTACAGCAATAAGTAATTACTTAACTTTCGACGGGTCTGCAAATCCGCTTCGGGAGCATGGGAACCACATGCTATTACATCATCTAATTTAATTTATGTTATAATTATTTAAGAACCTTTCCTTAAGCTCTAACATCAGAACGTTTTGGCATTGTTCATTGAAAATTTTGCTCTTAAACAAAGCATCACCTATTTTGGAACGGTAATTCCCTTTGACACAGCGGCATTCATCCTTGGTCATCGACCGGTTACACCCGAGATAAGGCGGAATGCCTTTTGGGCACTTAGGTAGCCATGATAGCAATGACGTGTTCCAAAAGTGATGTTGATGGAATTCGGAAGGAGCGGTAGCTGATCAATTCCTTCAGTATATTCCTTTGTCAACCATACAGAAACGCAAAGGGATGCGAAAAAGTAGTCTAACGGGCCACGAGCTTTTGTAGTGAGGTAGTTGCAGAGCAGTTTAAGTTATTTATGCCTTTCCATAAAAATACTATCTAACAGTATCAAGTAATCTACCTTCTATATTTTTAATAAGCCAATTTTCTAGGCATATCGTCCGACTTCTGACGAACATATCCAAAAATCGATCAATCGAAGAGGTTCGACTATCATCGGAAGTAGCCCAGTCCTCTCCGGCATTTCTAAGCGATATCACAGATCTCTTCGATTCTAAGCGAATTCGGCTGAGGTTGAATTTATAGTGCTGACGATAGGAGGGAGAATGACTCGAAATTCACCATCTTCTTTGTAAATTTTCTTCAGTCTTTCAACGCTGTACGGGTTTTCTTTTGTATGCTATTCATTACGTTTAATAAATGTTGAAGCACCATGACTCGAAAATTCTCACAACACAGGATTCATCAAAGTGGATTCGCTTATGGGGTACAGACAATGATGTTTGATGATCTTAAGATTTATCTGCCGTTGCCTTGTCAACTTTGAATGAATCAACAGCGGTTTTATCCTTATGCGGTGCCTTTCACCTACATC